CCCAGGACTGCGCTCTTCTGGACAGAGATCTCCGATGTTGTTCCCGGGATCTGCTGGAGCCACTCGCCTAGCTTGGGAGTCACCGCACCTAGTGCTCCGATTACCACGGGGACCACTGTTACCTTCACCCTCCACATCCTCTCGAGCTCTTCTCTGAGCCCTTGGTATTTCTCCAGCTTCTCGTGTTCCTTCTTCCTGTCGTTTGGAACACTGAGCTACTAGTTCTTTTTCGTTACAGAATTAGCTTCCGGTCTGTCCTGTCTTCCTGATATTGCGTATTGGTGCAGCATTACAGCGACACAAAGCCTCATCTTTCAGCCAATAGTTTTTGTAGTTTCGAACAGGTCTTATCGACTTCTTGCATGTTTCTTCTCACTTCCGGATTTCACTTGCCAGCTGTTGTATCTATACGCTCGATTTATGTCTAACCAATACAGCTCTGTTGAACGGACAAACCACTCTTGTTACACCTACCCACCTAATTTTATCGTCCGTATCTGTACTAGAAGTACGCCACCATGTGAATCTTTAGGCTCGCGTCCACTCCATCACAACACACCCTTTGGAGAGAAGGGCATTAGCTGGTTCTCTGACCATACCGAGGGGAGTGTTGATCTAGGTGACTATCTTACCCTCCACGGCACAAGATGTATAACCTTAGTGCTGAATATCGCTAGATTCCACGCTCGACGCACAGTTGCTTTCACTTCAGTGTCCAGGGTTGTGGTCCATGTCTATGCATAAGCTCCGCACGACCTTCATAAGGTACAGGTTTTGTAATGATCTCTTCGATACTAAAATTCACCACTATGAGGTTTTAGATTCCTTGATCCAACACAGCTGATTTAAATGGCTAAATAACCTCCTCAATATGTCCTGAAGTTCTCCAGAGGCCTGGTAATGAACTGATCATTTTATTCAGGTGTGTTGACCCAGGGTGATATCTAAAACGTGCAGGACACTGGCCCTTGAGGCCTGGAAATTGCTAAATTGTTTGTTTGATTGTTTGAAGGGTAAAAGTCATAAGTCAGTGTTAAGCGATTTAACAAAAAACAAAATCCTCTGAAAATGAACAGGTACAAGGACTGAAAATGACTCAAAGATCAACCAGTGAAAAACATTGAAAGACCTTTGCTTAAGACCCCTTCAAAATTAAAATAAAAAATATATAAGGAAATAAGTGGCGGTTCAGTACAGTGTGCAAGATCAAATCCAGATAAAATGCATAAGGGACCTTTGAGGCAGTCTTCTATAACTTCCTCGAATAAGGACTCAAAAATCCATAGATAATAAATGCATTAAGGGACCCGTATTGAGACAAGCAGTACTCTCACAATTTATAGTAAATTCTATTTCCTCATTGTGTATCCAATCTTTCTGCATTCCCCATTTGTAATTTATTTTATCAACTTTCACGATGCTGGTCTGTGTTGAGCGCTCAGTGAATCTGTGTTCGACTACTCCGCCTAGGCTGCACTGTCGAGCGCAGATCCACTGAGCGCTTTAACGCCTTGAGGTAACCAAGGTGCCTATCAAGACCACAGACAGTGTGGGCCAGCATCGTACAGTATGAAGAAAGAAAAGTTGCCTTTTACGTTTTGTTTTAACACAATAGCAGAGACAGAATTTCGTGATTACAGCTACTTGTTGTCAACAAATGAGCCACAACAGTTGAAGCGCCTCACCTATCAATCACTAGTAGCGCCGTTTGTGGTGTGGCCAGTGATCTGTTATTTTTTGTTTTCAGTGTGTACGTGTTATGTCTGACCCGTCGTGGAACGGATACACAGCCGCAAGCTCAATCGTTATCCCTAACAAAGGTAAATAACAGATTGTATGTTGGATGCAGTCTGGGCCTCGTATTAATTCGTCTGGCTCCCAATACTTATTTAAGGTGGGTGGTTAAAAGTATTAGGGACATTAAATGTAGTTGGTATAGACAACGACGATCCCCTGCGTCAAAACCTAGTAATGATAACGGTGTGCTTATTGGACGCTTTTCTCTAACTCCTAAAATGCACAGCGACAGCCGATCGGAGATTTGGAAAGTCTATATTGTCTTTTTTGCTTTCACTGTTTTAACCGTGAGTAATTCTTTTGCCTGCGTGCTTCACCGTGCCCAATATTGAGGTTGGGCTAGTGTTGGCATGCGTATATGTGTGTTCTAAAGTTAAACGATATAAGGTTCATATACAATTAATGACATTTAACACTCTGTTGACATATAAGAAGGCTCTGAGGACGTTCGGGAAAACTCATTTCAACGAGATTAACCTGAAAGCACTAGTGGGAACACAACGAATATGACTGCACATTTACACCGACATCATCCTAGTGCAAAGACAAAAACAACAAGCATGCTACTAACTTTAGCCGAGTCATTTAGACAGCTGTTAGCACATGATTCTCCTTATGCTGCTGAGAATATAGCCCAGAAGAAGCGGATAGTATAGCTTTTATTTTGGAAAGAGACATTTCTCTGTAATAAACTCTCTTTTCCAAAGATGAGTGATTCCTCAATCAGATACAGGGCTCGCAATATCGCTAGCCCGACGTCCTGGGGCTAGCGATTTTTTCAGTCGGGCTACCAAAATCTATCTCTGCCCTGCCCGTCGGGCTATTGTAGGAAAAATATATGTCAATGCTTTTGCATTCTTTCAGAAATGTAGCTGGGTAATTATGTCATTGGCATCGGTGAGCCACTGTCAATATGTGACATGTGGTAAAATTACACACCAGACACGTACGAGCATGCACGTGTACACGTACACACACAAATGCAGGAGGTCAACTATTGATTTATCACTTGTTTTAAAATTTCGAGCATCGGATGTAGATAACTCTTCAATATTTTAACTTATGTGCCTTTCTGAAAACATGTGTACGCGTGTTACAATTATCGCAGTGTCTTGTGTTTCTTTTGCTTTCACTTCCTGGCACCATCCTTGCGTCCGCCGCAACAGTAACAGCTAAGATACTGCGCAGGACCCTCAAGCTCCCAGGCCTCTGTTAGAGGACCCGAGCTTGAAGGATAAACCGCCCACAGGGGCGGCAGCCCAACAATTTGGAAAGCTTTACAGACCTGCATTTCCTATTGCCTCAGTGCACTACAGCCAGCCAACAGCACAACAAAAATCAAATTTCACTTTAAATTCTCTTTCTACTGTTTTGGCAAAAGCCACTACCTACTGTGCACTCAGTTAGATCCCAACCAGTGAACACAAAATACTGAACCACTAACCAAGCCTATATCGAACTCAGTCAACAGCAGCTTTATGAATGGATATGAAGGAGGATGAATAGCATCTGTAACCTTAACTTGTAATGTGTTCATATGTTACAGAATAATGCATTACTTCCTACATGCACAAGGAAACTAGAAGTCACTTTGCTCCAACTGCTTCTAGGGCCTTGTGCATGCATGCTATATTTATATGCCTGACTATCAGCGTAAGTGATTGAGAAAGAAAAGCACTTTCCAGCACATTGTTTCCAGTAAGATCCTCATCCATTAAGTTATGAATAAATAAATATTATCTGCCCAGTCTCTGTATACAACCATGTATGCGTATACGTGTGTGTTTGTGTTGAAGTTTGCATTACTGACATCCAGTATGGGTCCATTGCAGTAGTGGCATCGCGGTGAGAACAGGTTGTGGTAATCTTTCTCGCAGTAAGGGTGCCCATCGCGCTCAAAGAAGTTCCTAGAGCCAATCTCGTCCTGACAGTGGGTGCACACGAAGTGCTCGGGGTGCCACGTTCTGCCCATGGCAGTCACCACCTGGTGTGGGGAGACACGGTGCATGAAAAATTAATGAGCTGCAAGGAGAAAAGACCTGGCTCAGCAGAGAAAATCTCTGCAGCAGAGCATGAGAGCAGCAAAGGGAATCCTGCAAACAGCAGCAGATGTTTGCAACTCAAAGTTTAAAAGGAATAATAACCATATTTACAATCATCTTGTTCCACATAAGTAAAAACATCTTTATAATCCTGTGAAAACATTAAGCCTCTGTAAATTCAAAGTATCGCAAAATATCATTTTTCTGGAGGAGGAGCTGCTGCTGAAATCCAGATAGTTTCACTAACTTATCTGGATATCATGTACTTATATTGAGCTTAAAGCTACACTTTGGTAAAATGAAACACACATTGTATTTATTACCCCACTTATTGGCTGTAAACTAAATGAAAGGTGAGCTATTGAGAGACTAAGCAGCTTTGAGGTTAAGCAACAGCCAGAAGCAAGTGAAACATAAGCCAACGCTGCACTCACTGTGCAAATAAATCTAAAGTGTAATCTTCTCTTCACCATACCATTAACAGAAAACTGCATTAATGTGTGCAAAATCCCACTGGGTATTCGTGCATAAAAATAACAGCCTGCGAGCACACGTGTCTAAAAATAGGCGAGTTAAAAGTTTAGTATGTGAGCCACATTCAACATACATGTATGTTTACATGTTTCTGTGCTGTTACCTGCCCAGCAATCGGTTTCTTACAAGCACCGCAGACCCCTTTAGCCACTGTCTGGACGCCAAGTTTGTTGAGGTCAGACTGCAAGCTTCCCAGCATGTTGTCCAGCTTGTTGGCTGGTTTGGGGGCAGGAGAGGGAGAAGTCATTCCCGGTGGATGGATCTGACAGAGATGGAAAAGCAAAGTGTTTAATTACACCATTCAGAAGCTTCAATAAACAACCTCAGTATAATATCAGTTAGTGTGAGTGAATCGCACCACTACTACATTTTGTGTTTTCATTTTTCTTGCACACTTACTTGACTTCATGTAGCTGTCTTTGTAACTGGGATTTAAATTGCACACAGAGGAACAATTTTAAAGTCGCAGTGGTGCTTTCTGGAAGTCGATATAGTATAAACATAAAATTTTCTGAGAGTTTATTAATTTAAAAAGCTTCCTTTGGCTGCCCTCTTATTCACAAGGGCTCACCACAGCAGATGGCTCAGCATATTTTATTTGGCAGATTTTCACACTGGATGCCCTTCCTGATGCAGCCCCAAAGGGATTTGTGTCTCCTCCTGGCTTTGAACCAGGGACCCTTGAGGTGTGAGACTTACATGTAAACTACAAAGAAACCTAGAAACCTCCAGGAATGAAAACTCAACGCTAAAATGCAGGAACTATAAGTTTATAGTTTTTTAAAGGATTATTAGAGGTGTAGTTGCTTTGACCACAAGTGGATGCAGACAGTGGAAGCTACAATGGCTACCTGTGTGCTATATGTCACCTCAACGTCTCTACTGTCTTTGTAGTTGATGGCCTATGAAGTCTGAGCTCCAACAGTTCCACCTAGATCAGCCCTAATCTATGTTAACAGGCCTCAAATATTAACATGTATGTGTAAATGTGTCTGGTGACTGTAATGCAAGCAAACACAGACCTTCTCAGGTGGTGTTGTCATTGGAGCTTCATGACTCCTACATTCCACTGAAGGAGAAAATAGCACCTATGCTGCATGCCCCCACCACCCACACCCACGGCCTCCATACATTTGATAAAATTAAACACAGCCTTTTCCTGGGTATTTCACCATGGTTGTGCTATTCTTCAGGTTCTAACAAAGCTTTTTTTCCTAAAAGCATGATTGTATAAGAAATTCAGCTTCAACTGGTTGGTGTCTGACATAATGGGACATGTTGACTTAAGTCTTGTGAGACATGCTATAATTGTGACGGTAACTGTGCTGTCATGCGGCAGATTAGGTTTCAGTGGCACTGCAATCCTTCCATTCCTATGCATGGCAGGACTCTTAGTGTAACGGGAATATCAGGGAGTTACACTCTGCTTTCCTCTAAGCTCTTAAATTCTCCTCTCCACTCTAACACACTGTTCTTGGCGCCACTGGATGTCAGAATTAGAATGTGGGCTCAGTCCTTCTAGCCTGAATGTCAGCACCCCTGTGACTGGACTGCAGACAAAGCCTTCATGAGGTTACCTGTTTGACACCAAGGGCCAAAAACAGAACAAGTGTCTGGACAAATTCCTTAACGCCCATACATATCCAAGTAGCCAACAAACAAGCTCAATAAAACAATTCAAAGTGTGACAGAAAGTGGAAAGAATGAAGTTAGAGGAGGAAGATGGAAGAAAGGTGATCCGTGCCTGAATCGGTGGAAAGATGGGGTCGTACTCTGTCTGACAACCCACTGATACAAAGAGCTTGGCAGGCGGGGGTGGCGTGACCGGCTTGGGTGGAGGGCTAGGTGATGGAGGAGGTTGGACAGGGGGAGGTGTGGGCTCCCTGGGAGGAGGAGGAGGTGGGGGAGGAGGAGGAGGAAGAGGCGGAGGACTAGGTTCCTTGGGAGGTGGAGGGGTAGGTTCTCGAGGAGGAGGTGGGGTTGGAGGGGGAGGAGGTAGTGGCGGAGGAGTCTGCTTGATGGGGGGTGGCTTTTTGAGAACTGGGGGAGACAGTGGAGGGGGAAGGACTTTTCTCTGTGGGGCGGGTGATTCAGGAGGGATGATGATCTGGGAGGAAGAAGGAAACAAAGCAGCGAGGAAAGGAGAGGAAACATCAGACACAAAAAAGGAAAACTATATTGGCCCGAAAAGTGAAACTGTTTAAACTGTTTGCCAATAACAAGTAAAATTTTATGGTTAAGTTTGAAAAATGATAAATATCTAATATCTGCCAGTTAATCCTGTGATCAAAAGCCAAAAAGGCATAAACTACACCATCAGTGAGGCTTTTCGTCTCCACCTTCATCCTGCTACCTTATCCACAGATGGCTGAATCCCTTCCTCTCGTGTCCGCTGTGGGTTGGATGTAACAATGACTCCCTCCGTCAACCAGTCATCGGGCTGTTGTTTACGCCTGCGCTCCAACCTCCCGATCCCCAGTTTGCCCTGCAGCTCTTCAATAAGTCGATCTTGCGAGTTGCTTTTATTTATAATGATTGGTCCCATTTTACGTCTCAACATTCCCTCCCTGTACATTGGGTGCACGTTGGACGTCTCTTTGGTGCGGCGGATAACTGACTTGAGCTGGAGAGCAGACAACAAGTTGGTGTGGGAAGCTGGAATTGTGCCATACGCCGAAGGAAAAAAAAAAAAAATCAATCACAAGCAGGATGGGCTCAGAAGTGGATTTCTCACTCAAATGCAAAAACCCACACGCAGCGGCTGGGGTCAAAATGCTATGCAGTTTTTCTGTCAGGCATATTTAATTGATTTTGTTTGCAGAAGCCGAGCATCAGCCTCCTGCACAGGCTCATTCTTTAATATCAACATAAAACCTGCCGGAAATCCATGGCAAGGCATGCTCGATGGAAAACACCCGTCTATAACAAAATAAAATAAAACTCTGCACATGCCAAAGCAGGGCCAAAGATTAAACCAACAGAGCTCTAGTGTGCATTTTAAATTCATCTGCAAATGCAAAAAAGGGAAGGGAAAAAATATCCCTTTTACTGTGGAGTCTGGGTCTTTTCGTATTGGCCGTGTCAGTGATTAAAAGCTTGAACATGACATGTCAGGTGCTATGACTAACACAGCAATGTCAATGAAGCAAGTGGGGGCGTGCAGAGACATCTTTTCAGCAAAGCTTTCAACATCAGCCACAACTGATCTCCACACAGCGACTTCTCCCTCAAGCCATTCTGAAATTGCTATATGACACCACATGCATCACACCACAGAGACTGAGGAATTTCTCCTCATCTTGACATGTTTGTACTATTGCACAGCTCCTCGAGTACTTGTAGAGCTGCTTGCCCAAAATAAGCTTTTCAGCATTTTGCTTGAACAACCAATTAATACAACCCTGCTGCCATTACTTCCAGATATAATTTATATTTTAGCCACATGCCAATTAAAAGGGAGCCACAAAGTATTAAATCCTCTATAGCTTCATGCCAGCAGCTTATTTTGGAAGAGTCAAGCTGAGCCTCCTACTTGACCAGAAGCAGATAGACGGTCAACAGCAGAGGGCTGCTGTATGGGCAAGTCCAGCGTTGCATCTGGAGTCCCAGGGCAGGTGGAGGGGGTAAAGCACTCATCCATCCAGCTGGACTCAGTCATGGGTGTCAGGGTTCCCTCTAGGCTGAGATCTGGATAAAATCCATCTTCCTCCTCCCAAGATCTGTCTTCTTCCCCGGGCACAAAAGCAGTCGGTGGCTGGTTCTCACCCAGTCGAGTGGAGTCGGTTGATAAGAGTTTCTCTAAAGTATCATCCAAAAAAGGCTTCCGGCATGGCCACGTGAAACCCAGCACTTCGCCTCCCTGACTTTCTATAAGAGGTGCATACAAGCTACTTGATGGCACAGTGGCGACCGAAACTGGAGACCCTGTGGGACTGCTGCTGCTTGGAAATGTGTATGTTTTTCCCCTAACTGGAGCAGGACTCTTAGGACAAGTATCTTTTGGGACTGTTTCAGGACTGGAGCTTTTAGATACAGCTGGAGAACTAGAGATATTAGGAATTGTTACAGGACTTGAAATCTTTGGACTTGAAAGTCTCGGAAGTGTTAATGGACTAGCTGACTTGGGCACTGTTTCCATGGTGGTTGGCACGGTAACTGGGCTATCCCTCTGTATTGCTGTTTGTGGACTGTGACTTACAGGAGCAGGACTGAGACTTTTAAGGACCGGGCTTTTACATTCAACATCAGGAGGACTGGGACTCTTGCCTTTAACAGTGGGACTCGGGCTTTTAGAGACTGTAACAGGACTTTTAGAAACAACCACGGGTTTGGAGCTCGTGGCAGCAGCACCTGGACTAGCATACTCTTTAGTTATTATATGAGTGGGGGTGTCAACTTCAGTTTCACTGGAGGTTTTTACAGTACTGAAAAAACTAAAGCTCTCAACATGTGAGATCTCAGAAGTGACAGTGCCATCATCAGCCTTCTGTTGGATCTGAGAGTACTGAAGGCTCTTAGATGATGCTATTACTACAGCAGAAAGAGGTGAAGATGCAAGAGCTGAACCACCATCTTCATCTATGTGGAGTTCCAGTGGGAGTGGTGTACAGGACGGAGCAGTGTAACTATTGGGTAGAGGAGTATCAGGGGAACCAATCTGAGGCGTTATTGGTGGGTTAGTTATTGGGTGGATAACCGGTGAACCAGCAACTAATAATGGGTCAACTGCATCTTGATTGACAGACACCTGAGAGCCAGACTAAATCAGGTGCAATTATGTGAAGGGCGCAATGTACATACAAAGACAAGACATACACAGTGGTAGAGAAAAGAGAAAGAGACCAGGAAAATAAAGAATGAGATGAGAGTGAAAGAGAAAGGACAGTAAAGAGCATCACAAAGCAAAACCTGGAAAGTTACTGTAATACAAAAAAATTGTTGTTTCAACACGAATGAATGATGTCATCACAAATACTGACAACAAATTAAAAAAATAAAAAAAAACCTTGGTCACTGCAATGTTGAAGAAATGCTGCTCATAAAAATAAGATCTAAAAACAGGCAAATGCCAAAAAAAAACAAAAAACAAACCCAAAAAAACAACAACTTTCTATAATTAAGAGATGCAAAAACATCCAGTACAGCTAAATTCTAAACAGCCACACATACCAAAAATAACTGTCCTCAATCAAACCAAAGTCAACCCACTTCTGAACCACACTCACATTGCTTTGCACTTTGAAGTCAGACAGGGAGGCCATTAGCTCATCCAGCTCTCGTGTGGCAGAGGAGGCAGACATTCTGGCTTGTTGTTGTGACAGCGTTTCTTGTCCATCTGTTTGCTCATCTGACACCACCAACGGTGTGGGACTAGTGAGGAAAACACCACCGTCAACCAAAATGACTGGATTTTTAAAAAATAAATACAAATATAAACCACGTACAGTATAAAAGTGGTTCATGCCAGCATAAAATACATGGGCACAAACTTCTCGGTAGTACAAATCCAGTTTTTCTGTAACAATTTTTGGTCTTACTGTGGTGCTGGGACAGAGCTTTCCAATTCATTCAGAAGGCTCTCCACACTTGGTCGAACGTCCTCGATTCCTCGAGTGGGTCCACTACGTTTGGGCTTCTCCACCACAGTGGCTTTACCTGCAGTGGAGACTCCATTCTCCTGTACGTGGTGGACAATGCTGCTGCCCGGCAGCGGTGGAGCAGCTTCCTCTACGGCATAAAGAAAAAAAGAAAAAAGATGAATGCATATCCTGCTTAGATCTAAAATGCATACATAGTGTGAAGTGCAAACACTGAAACAGTAACAGAATACAGTGGAAAGAATGACACCATTGTGTAATACCACAGAAACAGAAGTACCATAGTTAGACGGTGACATCGACATTCCTTCAGAGAAACATGAGGGAGCATTTCATAAACCGAAATGCTCCCTCATAATTGTACCTTCTGTGGCGAAGGCAGGGGTGCTTTGCTGCACAGCGTTGAGCTCCAACAGCAGGCGGTCCAGCTCAGACAGGTTGCTGCCCAGTGAGTTCATTGCACCAGCTGATGAGTCACTGCTCTTATGTTTATTAGGGAGACTGAACAGGGCAGAGACATGAAACAACATTTATCATCAACAACATCTTGTTTCAAGCTTAGCACCAAGTGGAAATGGTTATTTCTGATCAAATGTTTTTACTTATTAGTTTCTACTCAGAAACATATTGTAAAAAAATTTAGCTGTACTGAGTTTTTGTTGTTGGAAAGATGTCTCAAGAGCTTCGTTGAGACTTAACATGACCTCTAACCTGTACACGTGGTCCTCTCCACCAGTGGGTTGGCCTAGACTGCTACTATCTCTAGACCAAGGACTTCTCTGCGCTGTGCCGACAGACTGAAATAAGGAAGTAAAATAACAATAGTGAATTTAGAGGATCAATGCAGCAACTAATTCACTTCTCATCCATGAGTTCATCAGGCAGCATTTGAAACGAAACAGTCTTTGGTTAATTCCCCAACATTTACAGCATGCATGCATTTACCTCTATTTCTTCTACTCCATTCAGAGCTTGGTCTGAGGGAGTAGGTGGGACTTGGGATGGAGAGCAGATGTCTTGCTGGGTCTGACCCCGCACAGGAAAAGAGTAGGCGGCCTCTTCAGACAGGAAAAGGGGGTGTTTCGAGATGTGGGATGTTGTGGACTCGAGGTCCGCCAACAAAGCATCTACATAAACAAAAAAACAAAACAAACAAAAAAAAAGCACAGATTGATTAGCATCTGGTTATGCCATATCCTATCTTGAATTTTAACTTTTGTCGTTCAATTATTTATGGTCTTGTACTTTGATGTATTAAGTATCCTTGAGAGCTTTAATAGCTGCCATTTTTAAAAAATGTATTACTAACCTCTAACACCATAGCTCTCATGACTGTCTACGGGAAAGAAAGAAATCAGAGCGCGCTATCACAAGATCTTTGAGCATTCAGCACAAAACCAATGTGATGGAACAGGGGGGGG